TCAACACAATGTGTTCTGAAACTTTTTGTGACTAATACCATGCATCTGTGATCAATGAACTATGTGATTTTGAATCGGACATAGACCATTAGTACTACTACTTGAGCTAAACTTCTGCATGGTTCATAATTTTTAAAGTGTGTAGTTAATATTATGCATGTTATTGTCCTTTCTTCCATTCTTACCAGTATGTGCCCATTTGCAAAACAAAAATGCTAATAATCAGTAATAGTCCTATAAAAATGTTAACTCTGTTTAGTCATTGATCTTGCTCTAACCTTAAAATTTTGTGATTATTGACCTCTGTTGCATTTATTCTAAAACCCCCCAAAAGTTATCTAGCCGTTTCAAATATCAACATCACCCTGGTGTATTCACTGCTGTATGCATTATTGTTCTTTGTTGCTGTTTTATGCCTTCATATTAGCAAAATATGAAATTCTGTGAAGAAAAAAAACCCCTTTGATCTTCAAAAAATACCACCCCACCCCCCTTCTGTAGCAGGAAACAAATTGCTTGTTCTTGAGAACTTTCCCATCAAGAATTTAGTAGAAGCAGGTATACTTCTATCATTTTGATGTTTTTGTTAATGTTTCCAAACAATGTACTTTGAAATCAGAATCACTTCTTATCGTTTTCATATACTTCTGATGCTCTTCATCACATTAGTGATCAGAAATGAGGTGTAATTCCCCAACCCCTGCCCGCAAGAGCTAAGTAGGATCTTACTGTAAGTTGAAGGGAGTTCTGCCCTAACTCATGGATTGTGAAGAATGAACTGCTGTTGGGTCTGATTGACTGTCGATGGATTGTGGTGTGGCGTATCTGGAGGCTATTGAATGCAACTTACAATGCTTAATAAAAATCTTTATTCTTTTAGTATAAAGTATGGTGTGGCTTTTAAATTATCACTTGTAAAGCATAAGTTTTACAGAGATTTCATTCAAACTGAAATGGCTCCTGTGGAGCTGTCAGATAACCAAAGCTTAGTAATACTGTGCCCTTTCTAAGTAACTCCACTCTTTCTGGCTCAAGGGGACCATTACGCTCACTTGTCTTAAGTTCTGTGGTTAAGTTTCATGCAACAAAAAAGGATATTCCCTCTGATATAGCAGAAATAGAAAACACTTTTGTTTGTTTTTTGAGACAGGATCTCACTATGTAGTTGAGAGTGGCCTTGACACACTAGCCCAGACTGCCCTCGAACTCGTGGTGATCCTCCAGCCTTAGTGTCCTGAGTGCTGGGATCACAGGCGTGTGTCACCGTGCCTGGTGGAAAACACTTTTTTAAAAACCTTGGGAAAAAAATATGGATTTATGGGCGTGGTCTGCCTTCCCCCTCATACCTTTGATCTGCAGCCCACAGGACCTGGGGCTAGGAGGAAGCGGCCGCAGGCCCATAAGCCCGCGGGCGGGGCATCGCTGGCGCTCTCCCTCCCCGCCTTTCAGGCAGGGTGCGCGCGCAGCCTGGGGCGGTGCCGAGTAGCCGGGGAGCGGCTTGAGGGGTTTCCAGCCAGCTCCTATTTGTTATACCGGGCCTGGCTTCGGAAGGAGCCAGGGGCCAGGGCAGCTGCGTGCTTCAGGCCTGAAGGGGCAGGTGGCCCCTGACCAACCCCGGAGCTGATCGGGACCGCTGTGGACCCTGGGCGACCGGAGCCGTCCTCGGCCGGAACTGGGCGAGCCTTCCTCAGCCCTTTCTCTGGGAGTTCCTCTGGTCCCGCCAGTGTGCAGACCAGGCATGAACTTAACCCCGTTTTCTGCAGCATTTAACTCTCAGATTTTGGGAGAAATAAAGCGAGCCTCGCTCCAGCGCCCCCTGTCCCTGACTCCTGTCCCCACTGTCTTTCAGTGACCCGGTTTGAGCCCCTCCTTCGCCCTTTCTGCTTTCTGCGGCCACCGTGCTCTGGGAGCCAGATGTGCGCCGCCTCACAGAAACCACCATTTCAGGGCTGAGGCTGTGCCGAGCAAGTTTGAGCACTGTCGACGCCCAACGCCTGGGAGAGGAAAGGCGCTTTAGAGGAAGACCTTTTCAGTCCCACAGGCCTCCGCGCACCGAGTGCCAGCACTGCCTCTTCAGCGATAGCCATGACCCCGCCATTTCTGAGTCCTCTGCGGGCTCAGATCTACCCCCACTAGAGAAAAGCAAATTGGCTGGAACGGGCCTCTGGCATAGAGAGGGTATGGGGGACGGGTATCTGCACAATAGTCCCAGCAAAAGAAATGCAGTCCTCTCGAGAATGTCCTCTCTGTGACAAGCAGGTGCTCCCTCCCTCCAGCGGGTCTCACACCCTTGCTTGGTCAGTTCCAAGTGCCCTAGGCCCTAAAAGGTCGCTAAGCCCTAAGGTGTGCCTCTCCTTGTATCTGTCCCTGATCAGTGGGAGAGAGGAAGCCAGGAGGTGTGGGAGGTTAGCCGGAGACACACTGGCCGCTCCCCCCACACTAGAATCGCAGGGGAAGACCCAAAGGCCAATGCTGAGGCAGCTGGAGGAACCACAGCTGCTTGTGGCACTGACTGGAACTAAGGACTGATTCTGAGGCTGGTATTATTCCTGGCCTTGTGGCATCCTGGGGCAGGTCACAGCTTCTCCTGGGTGACATTTTATTTTTTCTTTTCAAAAAACAGCTTTTTTGATTTGTTTAAAAAGTATATATGTTTATTGTGTCAAGTTAAAAAAAACTACAAGCAAACAAAAAGGAAAAGCAAAGTCACCAGCTACTGTTCTATACTGAGACTTCTCGACTGGGTGTATCTCCTTTTTCAATACAACATATAAATTTGGTTTTCTCCTACAGAAAACAATCATGCTGCCTGAACATGTTTTGTACTATGTTTCCCATCTAGCGTTATGTTATCATGGCTACCCCACAATGGATTCCCGTCTTTAGCAGCCAGCCAGTACAGGGAGACAGTTCATTTCCTTGTCCATTAACAAATTCCTAAGGAACATGTGGCAGGCCCTGCAAACTGAGGAGCAGAGGCATGAGGACCTTCCTCTGTGGCATTTACATTTGAATGGGGGAGTGAAAAACATGCACAATTAAGTCTACTTCAGACTGGTTGTGGTGGCGCACCTCTGTAATGCAAGCACCCTCACCTGCAACTACAGACATGGTACCTGCTCTGTCTGCTTACTGCTCCCTGTGCCCAGGGAGTGTGGTGGAATGCTGAGGCCTCATCCTGTCCCATGAGCTCCCCAGCATGGTTCAGGCTAAGGTGACCCTAGGACCTTAAAAATGGAGCCAGAGGAGGCTTCTCATTAAGATGCTTCACCCTATACTTAGGGCCAAACTATGTCTTTCTTCCAAGTTCATATGAGGAAGTCTTGACCCCCTAGTATCTCAAGATGTAACCTTATTTGGAAAGAGGGTCTTTGCAGATATAATTAGGTAATCCTATATGACTTAAAATCCTAATCCTATATGGCTTAAAAAAGGGAAACCTAGACACAGAGACACATGGAGAACACAGTAAGAAGATGGGAGTGACTTTGCCACAGGCCAAAGATCTACCAGAAGGGAGACAGAGGCCTGCCTAGACAGATTCTTTCCTAGTCCCTTGAGGGAACCCTGCAGACACCTTGATCTAGGACTTCTGGACTCCACAACAGGAGACATTAGACATCTGCTGTCCAAGGCACCCAGTCCGTGGTCCTGTGTTCATCATAGCTTTGAACTCTCATATACCTGCCTTCCACTATCACCTATGTCTGAGCCCCTGTTGGAGCCACCTCCCCCTTACTCCCACCAGGATGTAGCTCTTAGCCAATGGCTGCACTCATTTCTTTTTCCTTGATTCCTATAAGTGGAAGTAGCTTGAGGTGACCAGCATACCAACGGTTTTGTACAGAATTAACCTGCCTAGGAGCAAGGACTACAGTAGGTCCTGCCTCTCTAAAAAGTCATCAGATTTCAGACTGAGGGACCTAACCAGGTGGCCATTGTGGGCCCTACCCAAGTGTCCCCAAACTGGTGTACCTTGAAAGGAAGACCTCCCTGAGGGTTAGAATGTCCATCTGGGGCTTCATCCCCTGGCTGGTCAGTCCAGGAGGGCCTTCAGGGGACAGGGCTATGTCTGTTGCTGAAGGTACAGCCATGAGAAGAAAGGTATCCCCCTGGGGCTGCGGAACTTCACCTGAGTGGGGAAAGGCAGTTGTGTGAAAAAACATATAAGGAATCCATATAAAAATGCAACAGTAGTGGTAGGAGGTTCTGTGAAAGAGAAAAGCCAAGGAACTATGGTACTTACCTGAGAGGGTTAGGAAGGCATCAGAGAAGCCTTTAAGGCAGAAATGGCAAATCTTTTAGAGCTTTCAGTGACAACAGTGGGCTTGGCATATGTGCCACAGGTTCACCACCACTGCTGAGATGGGAATTACCCAGGCAGAGCACGAAGTATCACACACACACACACAATTAGAATTAATACATGAATTAAAGAGCAGGGTACAAAATCAACATATAAAAATCCGGTTTGTTTCCACACACTAACAATGAGCAATCTAAAAAGAAAATAGTGCTATTTATAATAGCATTAAAAATTTTCCAGAAGTTAACCAAGGAGACAAAACACTTGTACTTTAAAATGACCAAATGTGGGCTGGGTATTTAGCTCAGCGGTTTCGCCTCCTGCTGTGTAAGCGCAAGGACCCAAGTTTGATCCCTGGTACCAAAAAAAAAAAAAGTAAAAGAAAAACACCATAGCATTTTTCTTCTCCTGCAATGTGTACATATTTATTGGGGCAGACTCTGTATATACATAAATGTACTTAATACCACTGAACTGAACTGTACATTAAAAATGGTTAAATGGGCAGGGGTGTAGCTAAGTGGTAGAGGACTTGCCTAGCATGTGAGGCCCTGGGTTCAATCTCCAGCACCGCCAAAAAAAGAAAAAAAAACCTGTTTAAAATGGCAAATTTTACATTATGCAGAGTTAACCACAATTTAGAAGCAACCTGCACTAGCACTGGGTCTGTTTTGTTAAGTGAGTGGGTGCGGGCATGCATGAAGAAACGGGCCTGGCATGGGCTACCTTTGTCTCTTTTGTAAGGGTAAGAAAATGTGTCTTGTCTTGGGCAAGTGTGCGACTGTGCAAGGCTCCAGCTGCACTCCATCAGAGTGCCAGGGTGCAGGGGCTGCTTGGGACAACAGGATTTGTAAGCCCACCCTCTTCACAGCTGCAAGCTGTGCGGCCCTTTCCTCCAGGGTGAGAGCCAACAGTATCTGCAGTGCTCCCAGGCTCACAGTAGGTGCTCAATAAAAATCCCAGTAGAAGGGTGGGGGGTGGGGAGAAGAGCATGTTGGGGGGGGAGCAGTCCAGGAGGAGGCATGTGTGATGCTGCAGATGGCAGGCGGCCCACAAAGGGATTTGAGTGCCAGGAAGGTGGCTGGCAGCCATGCACAGGGGCAGCTGCAGTGGGCACAGCTGGCAGCAAACAGGAGACTGTCTGGTAGGGGAGGGTGGACAGGTATGCTGGTGGTCAGCAGCTGAACAACTTTCAGAGGGAGGAAGGGTTTTCCCTGGCATGTTTGGGAAGGAGGCCAAAGCTCAGGGGCCAGAGTCTCAGGTCTGGGGAGGTGTGGGCTCCCCCTTCACTCGCTTACTCACTCCTTCCCTCTCATCAGGCAGCTCTTCGAGCTAGCCATGTAATTCCTTTGAGCATCAGTTTTCACTTCTGTAAAATGGCACCACTGCTCCCTGCCAAAGAGCACCACATCCCAGGCTGTGTGTTGACTGCTTTACAAACTCCGACAGTACCAGTGAGCCCTTGTGAAGAATCAGCCCAGTGCATGTGCCTGGGAAGCATTTGGTAAACGCTAGGCAGCTACCATCATTTGTAAACAAGGAAATGGAAGTGTTCAGAGAAGGAGGTCTGCCACAGACAGTTGAGGCTGCTCCCTGAACACAACAGGGCCAAAGGAAGCTCCTACCTTTGGTGGTCAGAAACTCAGGGTCTGGGGCATCAGGGGCTTGACTGCTTACCCAAGGCAAGGGAGTCTGTCCATAGGTAACTGGGCAGGGCCCACACCACCAGGGCTCACTCTGGGCCTCCTGTTACACCTCACTCTTTAACTGCACAAATTCACACCAAGATGGTCACACCAGATAGTGCTTTATAGCAAGCCCATCCCCAGAACCTTAGTATGTAAGGAACTACCCAGGAGGAAGGAAACCACTGCTGAGAGCTGGGGTTTAGGCAGGAGGCCTTACTGTGAGCATCCTGGACAGCTCTTTTTCCCATGCCTAAGTTCTTTTTCCAACCCTTGCCTTCCTCGTGTTTGTCCTGCCCCTCAGGCCCTGCCATGGACACTGTTCCCAGTCTGTGGTCAAGGGCCACCTGTTTGGAGAGGGCAGTGCCTTGGGTGGGCAGCATCTGAGTTGCTTGCAATGAAGCAAATGGCTCCTTGGCAGCTGCAGGCTGAGGAGAGATGGTGAAGACTGTGCCTCCTCAGTGAGGGTGTAAGCGTGTGGGGCCCTGAGAACATGGGATTCACCTGCAGGCCCAGCTTCTCCCGCTACTATGTGGGGTTTTGACACAGGACAAAGGGAAAACAGTGAGGGAAGGAGGTGGCCTAGACAGGCTCCTTACTGGGAATGTGTCCCCTCCCCAGTAGGGGTGCACAAAGGATGCCACAGCTGGGGAGAGGGTAGGGAGAGGGATGCCACCTCCCTCCCCCAGACACCCAGAATGCACAGGTGAGGCCAGAGAGCCAATTCAGGGCAAAGGCTCCAGGGGCCAGAGCAGCAAGGTAGGTCGCCTCTGGGTTTCTCCTCCTCACTGCTGTGGCACAGAACAGACGCAGGGTGGCTGGCTGCCCCTGCCCCTTAATCTCAAATCTGGGGGCTCTAGCGGGGGTCCCTGGGCAGCATATGCCAGGTAAGCTATCTCTTTAGAGCTGACCCAGGCCAGCAGGCTTTCAGCCCCTGACTTTTGTTCTCTGCCCCGAGGGCTGAGCATCAGGGAAGTCCACGGCGTCCGGGAGGGAGCAGGCAGCACCCAGCCAGAAACGAGGGGAAGGGGAAGTTGTCTCTGGCCCAGAACTCGGAACTCGAGATGGGAAAAGGGCAGCGAGGCCCAAGAAGAGGGGAATACCCCCTCTCCGCCCCACTTTGGGGTCCGAAGAAAGTTAGGGCGAAGGAGTTGCTTCTTGGCTGTCTGGACGGGAAAAGACATACAACAGGCTCTCGTCCTGGACCCAAGGGGTACAGGGGTCCCCAGCCGGCCTCCCCGGGCCCACCTTCTCCCTCCTGGGTCTCCCCCGCACACCTCTCCCCAGGGTCCCCCAGCGCACCTCCTCCCTAAGGTCCCCCCGACCCTCCTTCCCCCTGGAGATCCCCCGGCCCACTCGCTCCGCCGCGACCCAGGCTCCCGCTCTCCCCCGATCCTTCGGCCCACCTTCTCCCCTAGCCCGCCTTCTCGGCGGCGGGAGCGGGGCCCAGGCCGGCGGGCGGAGGCGGCGCCACCCGGGGCGCTGACGTAGAGGCCGCTCGGCGGCCGGGGGTCCCTTCGGTGGGGCCGCGGCTCCCCGCCCGCCGCCCCCGCGCGTCCATTCCCTTTTGTGTCCCGCGC